CAGCAGCGGTAATGCATGCCAGTTTGAGTTGCTTGTGGTGACTTGCAGCCGCCTCTTGCTTGTATTGTCCTTGCATTGAGTACGCTTGCCATGTGGCTGTCTCCAGAGTTTGTGAATAACCTGGTGGCTGCGCTCAACGTTCTCGCCTCCCAGGTTGCCACAGCCTTGGACACCTTGAACTTTGCCCTTGCGGTAGATCGGAATTCGGAATCCGATCCCTGGATGGTTCCCAGGCCGCCACGCAACTCAAGACACGGGCTACGTCCACGCATCATCACGGAGCGCATCGCGTCAGACCGGTCGCACGCACCACCTCGCACTAGGACCCGGCCCTTGGACACGTCTTCGACCTGGTACATGCCTGAACTGTCGCCTCCTCGGGAAGTACGTCGTGAAGTTCCCGGACCAGGAACAGACCATGATCTTCGTCCAGATGCTCTTGTTGACCGGCTTCCCCCGCCAAGAGTACCCGCTCCCATCGCGGCAAACACCCATCGTGGACCGGTGATGACGCCCTCTTCTACTCCGGATTCGGATTCGGACGGTTCTGTCCGTCCCCATCCTGGTGCTTCATCGTTTTGCCCATCACCGACAGTGGTACATGGCCCTCGGGAACTTCTGCAGGAATTCACCATTGCCCTCCGCAATGCGTACCATGAACCATTCACGGCGTGGACACAAGGTGAGCTGGATGAGATGGTCAGGCGCATTAAAAAGACAAGGACGCCAGACCCACCTACAAGACTATTGCCCGCTCCCTCCAGAAGTCCGCGGAGGAAGTCAAGCAGGCAGGGAAGGTTTATCAGCAACTTGAGGCACGCAGCTAGACTCCTTTGCAGCGTTGGCGCCGTCAAAATTCTTCTGCGTGGTTGTGTATTGCTTCGGACTTGTTGTCTCGCTTGCCTTGTCTTGCTGTCCTGAGTGTTCAAGTCATGATGGAACAAAATGTTCAGACGCTCATAACCTGGACCCATGGAGTGCAGCCGAAGTGGTTGCAGAATCACGGACCCTCACTTCATGATCGCCTACCGGGAGTTCAAGTGGAAAGGCTATTGCGAATGCCGGTACCACCGCCACCTCCGCCACAGTTGGTTCTACCTCCTCCACCTCCACCACCACCACCGCCACCGGAGATCCTCCACCCACAGTTTTTGCCCTCATTACGGACTTCAACCACTTCAATCCTTCGAGGACAACCCTGCCCGGCTACTATGACCTCTGAACGCACACGTCGGTCAGGTCGCAGTGCCGACCAACTCAGTGCTGATGATCTTCGGAGCCTCACGCGCACTCCAAAGCGCACCTTCACATTGAAAGCTGCCGCATCAACCACTGCAGAGCCATATTCTCGACGACCCTTCACCGTGTTCACTCCCACAAGGTCTACTCGTGCAACACGGCCCAGAACTACAAGATGCAAGCATTACTGCCATGCCTTTATACATCACGGACGGAAGTGTCTTTCCCCTTGTGTGAGACGTCAACCAGGACACTTCCATTGCAGATGCGCACGTCATCAACGACAGTGAACAGGTGCCATATAGCCTTGAGTGTGAAAAGTCGTTCCGCATTGCTTGCCGATTATGCATGGGTTGCCTTGCGCTTCTCACATGTTTGTTCTTTCGCAGACCCTTTGCCTCACAGAGACGCATTTGGTTGTCATGCTTAATTCGACATTTGGAAGCAAGAGATGGGCCTTCCCGCGCTACTTTGAGTACGACATCGAGCGTGGCCCTGGGAACTCAAGAGTGGAATGGATTCGTGTTTACACTCCGGGCATGTGGCAGCCTGCGGCAGAATCCACCTTAGGCCCAGCTCCGGACCACGCGTCCACATATCGTGAATGGCGCAGAGTCTACCACTTTGACGTGTGCTGGCCTCGTGACAGCACAGGAGGCACCGCTGCGGATGCCCTCGCACTACCGGTCTCCTACGTGTCCTTTTACACGTGGCAATTTCGAGATTGGCACACGCGGGGATACCAACGCCTTGGTGACCCACGTCCATACATTGGTTCGTCCGCTGGATTGTCGTCCTCGTCGGCGTCTTCGGTTCCGGATGGCGCTTGGCGTGAACCTTCTCCCCCACCGAGCCATGATCCTAATTTTGACTGGGGCGAGTGACATTGATGCCTGGGCAGACTGTCGCTTAAAACATTGTGCTTGTTGCGTCTTGCGTCTTGAGTGCATTGCCTAACACCTTGAGCTTGATTGACTTGTATCATGTTTGTATCTTGCAGCCATGTGCACCATTGATCGATCATCATGCCGTGGCTAGAATGGTGCCCTGATCCTCAGCGACCTGAAGCCCAATGGGTTAAGATTTTTCACCCAGGGTCATGGACACCACAAGACGAACGTGATGACCCTCCTCCACGTCATACGTGCAGGGAATGGAAGGAGTTCTATGCCCCAAATCATGCTCATGACGGTGATCAACCCACCAGCAGCACTTGGCACAAGCGGGACTGGACCACAGAAGGTTACCGGCGCGTCGCAGCTCCTGAACCTGACTACGGCTTCAATTCGATGTTTTCTCCTGATCAGCACAACGTGGCCACGCAATCATCGGCTTTGTGTATGTCTACGCAGATGTTGGACGCGATTCTTCGCTCTTCGGATGCATCGGCTTTCTCTACTGAGGATCTCACTCGTCTTCAAGCAGGGATCGGTCAGCAGCTGTCGGATCGCGCGCGTCAAGCGTCGCAACCGCACCAACCAGTGTGTACTTCTCGGGGCGTTGATCCGCCTGAGTCTATTGGGGTCGCTGATCCCTATCTGCCTGCAAGCCAACCAAGCAGCTCTGCCACCAAGGAGAAGCCTATCTTCGAGCTAGTTGCTGAGTAGACTGATGAGTTTTGACCGTGGTACAAAATGGTGCTTTCACGTTCTCTTGCTTTCATGTGTGCTTGTTGGTTGTGCATGGTTGTGCATGGTGACTGTCTCCTTGCTAGCTGGATCGGAGCCTGTGGTGCGCCCTATCTTTCACTTCGACATGGATACAGATGATGCAACTCAGACGTCGGCCGGACTGACATTCAGCACCCATGGCTGGAATATTCGGTCGGGAATGGGTGCGGATCTACACTCCGGGACAACCTCAGCTATGGCACCCGGATGATGAAGTACTTGACCTGCTAGAGAACACTTTTCGGGAGTGGAAACGGGCGACCGATCCAGATGAAGAGACTCATGAACCAGGCCAAGCATGGACTATTTGAGATTGGCAACATCAAGGATACCAACGGATATTGTCCCGCTATGAGTCATTCTCCACCCATCACGCTCCGGATCAACCACTTGATGGCTTACACAATCCGGACATCTCCATCCAGGTCGAGGAAATGTTCTCCTACGCCCCGCCCATGTCCGACGTTGCACATCCGTCATCTTTGCATCTTCCGCCTGTCTTCTATGGCGGCACACGTCTTGCTCAACTTGGAGATCCTTCGTCCCCGTCTTCTGAGCGGCATCGTACAGAGCGTGCAATTTCTCATTCTCCCCGCCGCAGTGGATATTTTGGTAGACGTTAGGGAGTTTAGCACCGGAAGCAAAAGAGAATGTACGCCCCTCGTGGAGGGGCGTGTGTGCGCGGAGTGGCAGAATACCCTGCCACCACAATTGCTTACGCAGGGGGGTCACCCGCAGTCACGACCGGTGACCCAACGAAGAGGGTCGTGACCTGCGCTGATACCTGGCCTGATCAGCCAGACGTACCTGCCGAGATGGTTGCGTTGTTCTGAATGTCATTTTGGTCCCCCCCTGAACCGCCGTTGCTTCTGTGTGTCCCTGTTGAAGTAACTACAGGGAAGCCAAGCGCATTGCAAGCCGAAACTCATCGTACTCGAGACGTATCAGGTACTCGAGACTCATCAGTTGTACTCGAGACTCATCAGTTGTACTCGAAAGATTAGCATCCTCCCTTGGGAGTTGAAGTGTGTCTCTGCGCACAGGACGCGTCGTCTGGTCGTCTGTGAGTGCGTCTGTGCATCTGTGCATCTGTGCGTCTGTGTCTCTGTGGGTGTGGGTGTGTGGGTCTGTGGGTCTGTGGGTCTGTGTGCCTGTGAATGCGTGTCTCTGCGTGTCTCTGCGTGTCTCTGTGTGTCTCTGTGTGTCTGCGCGTGTGTCTGCGCGTGTGTCTGCGCGTGTGTCTGCACGTGTGTCTGCGCGTGTGTCTGTGCCTGTGTGTGTGTCTCTGTGTGTGTGTCTCTGTGTGTCTCTGTGTGTCTCTGTGTGTCTTTGTCTCCGTGTGTTTCTGTCTCTGTCCCTGTGCCTCTCCTGTGCGTCTGCACCTGTCTGTCAATCTGTCTGTCTGCGTGCGCCTGTGCGCCCCTGTGTGTGTGTGTGTGTGGGTTTGCTTGCTTGCTTGCTTGCTTGCTTGCTTGCATGCATGCTTGCGTGCGTGCGTGCGCGCTTGTGTGCTTGCTTGCGTGCTTGCGCGCTGGCGTGCTGGCGTGCTGGCGCGCTTGCGGGCTTGCGCGCTTGCTGGCGTGCGTGCGTGCGCGCGCATGGGGGGACGCGCATGGTGTGTAGGTGTGAATGCGCGGGTGTGCGGGTGTGCGAGTGTGCGGTTTTGCGGCTTTGCGAGGTATGCGGTGTACGTTCCGCGGGTGCGCGGTTGTGTGTGCAGTGTGCATGCGGTGTGCGGTTGCGTGGGTGTGCTGCTGTTCGGATGTGCGGTTTCGCGGTTGCGCTGGAGTGCGGGTGTGCGAGTGTGCGGTTGTGCGAGTGCGCGGTTGCGCGGGTGTGCGGTTGTGCGGGTGTGCGAGCGTGGGAGTGTGTTTGTGTGTGTGTGTGTGTTTGCTGATGATTTGATCACCACCGCCTTGATGGTGTTTTCATTTCTCTGCGGCACGGGACTCAACTGTCCCGTGGAATTCTGTCGATGCGTACAGAGCATTTGATGCCTATGCCCGCCGTTGCTATCTGACCATCTGAGAGGAAAGTAGCTACACACAAGTTGGGACTGACATTTGACACAAGCCTGCTCGTCCAAGCTACGTACGCACATGCGGCCAGCGCAAATACGAACCAGGTGTGAGTTGCCCTTGATCAGTGTAGTTGCTGCCAATCCTACCATTGTCACGTCGTGAAGCACGTTGGCCTGGCCAAATTCTGAAGGCCAATGGTATTCCCCTGGGCGGAGAACCACGAACTTGATCGAACCTCAGTGGCCAAAGCCCATGGCTTCAGCGGGGCAATTGCCAGAAATATCCAGGCACAAATATGGCTTTGTTCATGTCCCTGGAGCCTTAGCCGAGTATCTTGAGGCAAGCGCTGCTGCTAGCTCTGAATAGCATCGCACGCTGACCAGCTCTTGCGCGTTGGGAACAGGATCTTCAGAAGCTGTTGCAATGCTCCGCAGCTGCGTTAGAAGGTCCTCTGTGACCAGCCAATCCAAAAAAGAACCTTTTCGACCACGCGCTTCTCAAAAGGCCACTCTGTCCCAATATTCGGCCGTCTTAAGAAAATTTGACACAGTCAGGTTTGAACGCTGTCAAGCAGAACATGTCACACAGTCAGGTTTGAACAAAGTTTTACCCGGTCAAGCGGTCCTCCCCTGCAGATCTGCCGGCCAGTGCGATAGCAATGCAGATATGCAAGCATGCGCGGCGGACGTCGTCTTGGCTCAAGTCATCAGAATTATGAAGAAGCGTCGCTGCTAGGCGAGCATGTCCTTTTACGTAAGTTGGAGCTTTGTCTATAGCCAACTGCGCATCTGCAGCTGCTGTGTCCCATTTGCCCTGCTTTTGAAAACAAAGAGCCCTGTTGCAAAAACATTTGGCCATCTCTGCAGTAGCTTCATCTGACTGCAAGCAAGAAAGCTTGCCAAGCACCTCACTGTAGCCGTCGATAGCGGCCTGCAAGTTCCCTTGAGAAAAAGATTGGTTTGCCGTGTCTTTGACCTGCAGTATGTCCGGCAACATCTCGCAAGCAGCAACTTCCACATTGTTTGGCCGCACTTTGATCACCTCGGCCGTGCCGGTAGCGCTCTCGACCTCAACTGTGATTCTTTCCAGGTCTTGGGCATCTTGCTGTGCCACTCGCCCACACTTGCCGTTCATGGCCAAGCCTTTCCTCATGGGCCCGCACGTTGCAAATACATCAAATACAATGTGCAACGATTATAAACTCACACACAGAGGAAACATTGCCAAAGGAAGCCTCGGCGCTTGGACGTCAGGCCTTTCAATCTCACTCTTGTTCCCGGATCCAAGCTGCCTTCCAAAAGTTCTGAAAGGTTGACGGCGGGCTGGCGTTCTGCTCGCTCTTTGGCTTCTGGCCTTTTGCCGAATTGCCCCGCAGTGATTTCCGCTTCCTCTCTTGGCTTGCAAAAGCAAGAGAGTCTTACTAAGGCGTTGATACACAGGCATGTATTCGCTCAGACCAATGATGAGGCAATCATGTGTATCGTCAGAAGCTACCGTTCGGGCGGTATGGCGTGTTTGAGAAGTCATTCCAAGCGTCATTGGCAAACAAATCACAGGCACCTTTGCATCCAAGTGCAAACAAGCAGAAAATGTGTGCTAATGAGGTTGGTGTCTCCTCGCTGCGGTTTGTGGCCAGGAGGAAAGACTTGGATTTCAGACGGATTGTCCACGCGTATGCCACGGCATCCATCTGACATGACCTCGCTTACGGGGAAGCTTTCTCACAATCGCGCAGGGCCATGCGTTTTCTTGTTCACGCTGCCACAGGCTTCAACACAGACCAAAGCCATGCCCACTGCACGAGCTGACCTATCAGTGGGCATCCAGCCACCTTGCTGCATGCCTCAGCAAACTTCCCGGCCTTCAAGAACGGCTCGGCGATGAGAAGGGTTGAGCCGCGCTGCAGCTTGCTAGAGGCTGAACGCTGGTCGCAGACGCCGGGTAGATTGTATATACCGCACAAGACAGCATTGCCACGAACATCCTGAATTACTGTAGTAATCCCGACCACAAAGCGCGGATCCCCCACTACTTCGCACTCCAAACAGCTGCCCTTTGTGGGGCAGAACAGCTTCAGCTCAGAAATGGCCACGCTCTTCAGTCGCTGCCATGAACAATCCACGCTTACTTTCGTCACAGAACTGTTGCAGGTCGGCATCACAATCTCGCTTCGATTCACTTTGTCACAGACTTCACTGACAGAAAGCCCGCTGAGCAACAAACTGCATGGCATCTCCACACCCCACGTGGGCAAGAATCCCGTGCTGAAAGATGCCAAAATGTCGTCATTCGGCTGCGCTGATTCCTTCACGCCAAAAGCCCGCAGAGCTGAGCGAAGCAAACTGTCAGATTTCCGCCCTCTGCTTCCCTTCTCTTGGATTGGTCTAACTTTGCCAACAACAGAGCTTGCTAAGGCCAGCAGCATGAGGGGCTTTCGCGACTCGTCCAAGTCTTTGAAGTCTCTGCAAACCTGTGGCAGCTTTCACCGAAAAGCCAAACCCCACTGAGACTCATTCCAAATTGCTGCTGAGACATGATATGGTTCTAATCTACAACATATTCGCCATCACTTTAAAAACTAAAGCAGCTACACTACAACCCCATCAAATGCGCTTGAAGGGAAACCAAACGGTTCAACCGTGTACGCAACATGACCTTCCCAGGAAACACGGTATTCCTCCCACTATCCCAAAAGCATGATCTTCTCCCCAGAAAATCTGAAGCGAGTCCCGACTCCATCCCAAATGTACCATTGGTTTTCTCTCAAGAAGATCTGAAGTACATTGCGAAGCGGCTGGGCCCATCTCGCCTCAATGTGGCCGTATTCCTCCAAGACCTGCTGCCATAACTTCTGAGCTTCCCGGGACAGCTTGTCCTTGCTGATTTGTGCTACAGCCATGGCTCAGCTGGTGCAGTCTGGGACAATCCCTGGCCCCTGATAAATGCCCCTCATCCGTAAGTGTTCTCTCCCAAGGAACATGGGTATGTGTCAAAATTGCAGAACCCCGATTTTTTTTTTCTCCTTTGGTGTCCCCTTAAACCAGCCTAGAAAGTGTACCCTAGAAGAAAACAAACCCATGTGTATTTCAGCTAGTGTTTTTTGGGTCAAGGGCTTCCTGGCAATACGTCAAGCCAGCTGTCGCCTGAGTGGCGCAAGCTGAAAGCAAAGGCTGCAAGCGCCTGGCCATAGAAACACTGCACTGCCCGCTTCACAGGGAGTTGCGGGTCAAACAAGTTCTAAGCCCAAACAAAGAAGCATTTGGTGTGATAAAATCCAAAGGCAGGGTCCCCTCGCTTCGTTCTTGTTGCCACACTGGCAGCGCTTGCTTGTTTTATGTTGGGGAAGCATGTATAGGACTCTGATGCCCTAGCGAAAGCAAACCATCGTATGGTCCAAGGATGCCCGATTCGCTCCTTTCTCGCACCCAGGTGACCCAAAGCGGATTCATCAGTACTTTGCACTGCAAACATGCAGTGCCCTTCATGGTGCAGAACAGCTTCAGCTCAGAAATGGCCACGCACTTCAGTCGTTGCCCCGAACCATCCACGCTAACTTTTGTCACAGAACTTTTACAGCTCAACGTCTGCTGCTCAAGCACAAGCTCCGAGTAGGCGACATGTCTGTCAAGCAACGCGCTGCATGGCACCTCCACGCCCCACTCGCGCAAGAATTTCCCAGTATCGCATGCCAATACGTCATCCTGTGTTGATTCCTTCACGCCAAAAGCCCGCAGAGCTGAGCGAAGCAAACTGTCAGATTTCCGCCCTCTGCTTCCCTTCTCTTGGATTGGTCTAACTTTGCCAACAACAGACTCTGCTAGAGCCAGCAGCATGAGGGGCTTTCGCGACTCGTCCACGTCTTTGAAGTCCCTGCAAACCTGCAGCAGCTTTCACCGAAACGCTGAACCCCATCGAGACTCATTTCAAATTATTACGTAGCAAAGGATCTGCTGAGACATGCCATGGTTGTAATCTACAAGGTATCCACCATCATTTCAAAAACAAAAGCAGCTACAGTACAGTCCGATCAAATGCGCTTGAAGCAGAAAACCAACGAACGCTGGACGCAGAATGACTCAGTTTGCTCTCGTCGCTCACTTCCTGAGTAGATAAGCCCCAAATGTCTCAACTTTCACATCCACCAACGTGATCTTTCCAACCAGTTCAAAGGTGTACACGCAGCACCTTCTCTGGAACCACGACGATGCTCCTCCCACTAATCTTCTCCCCAGAAAATCTGAAGCGAGTCCCGACTCCATCCCCTCAAGAAGATCTGAAGTACATTGCGAAGTGGCTGGGCCCATCTCGCCTCAATGTGGCCGTACTCCTCCAAGACCTGCTGCCATAACTTCTGAGCTTCCCGGGACAGCTTGTCCTTGCTGATTTGTGCTACAGCCATGGCTCAGCTGGTGCAGTCTGGGACAATCCCTGGAGGTCTGTGCCAATCCCTGACCCCGAACAAATGCCCTTATCCATGTGCATGTTGTCTCCTGGGAATGTGGGTGTGTGTCAAACTAGGGGAACCCCTCTTCTCCTTTTGTTTTCCCTGTAAGCCAACCCGGATTTTTTATTTGGAGCAAGGGGCTTTATGGCAATACGTCTGGCGATGCCAAGGGCTCTTCTGTTCACGTCGCTAAAGTGCCGCATGAAACCAAAGGCTGCAAAAGCGTCAAGCTAAGCTCAGACCTGCAACTTGCATCTGGGACTTGCACAGAGGTGAGCTGCGGGTCAAACAGGTTCCAAGCCCAGACAACTGCATTTTGTAAGAGAAGCTACTGAAATCCAGCAAAGCTTGCGCCACACTGGCAGTGCTTGCTTTTGTGTTGGGAAAGCATGTCAAGGACGCTGCCACTTTGATACGGGCAACACCGAAAGCAACCGTTGGTCCAAGGTTGGCTCACTGCCGCGGTTCGCTCTTTTTGCGCACCCTGAGATGTCCTGTGAGGTGACCAAAAGCCGGCCAACACCGACGAATGGGTTTCTGCTTTCTGCATACAACCCAACAACAAAAAAGCAGACAGCCAGCTCAAGCCGCCTCGAGCTTGTCCTTCCAAGGTGCTTCGGCCACGTGCAAACACATGAGCAAGTGACAATATGGAGTGGTTCAACTAGAGGGTCCCCCTGTTTTGTTGGGCGATTCCCCTTGGGCAAATGAAACTATTGTCCGCTGCTCACATGTTGTTCTTTTGCCCAGACTGCCAAGTCTGACGGCCGAACCCTGCAATCCTTTAGAGGAGCTCAGGAAGGAAAGGTTTGCATAAACCTCAATGCTCATGGGACATGGTGAGACGCTACACAACACTGCAGCCAGCTGAAGTAGTCCTGGGTCTTGGTCTCGAAGTCACTGCGCGCGTGACGGTTGTGCAACTGCGAGGACTTTTCCCCAAAGGGGCGATTCACCATGACGCCGCGCTTCCTGAGTTCGCATTTACGCGACCGCCCCATTCGACCAGATCATTCCCCCAGCCCCTGCGTTTTTCCACTTGGCCTCTCATTCAGGCAAGCATCACAGCAGGTCGCTCTCCGATTCGCTTGGACCAAGCGCACACGTTCTTGTACTCCTGCGAGAGAGCTCCGAGGTCAGGCTTGTTGGCTAATTACGGATGCAGGCTGAAACAATTTCAGACCGGCCAGACTTCAAAGGGGAGAAAATCCAGCTGCAACCAGATGAGATTTGATCTCAAAACACTTCCTTGAGCGCTTGACGACCCCTTTCAGTTTTGTTTTTTCCGCTATCGGCTTGCAAAATGAGGGCTACCTGCCAAATCTCCTTTGAAACCAAATGGCCAAAAGGGCATGACCCACTTTTGGGTTTCCCATTAATCCAACCTTGCGGTACCGCCACAAAGCACTGGCGTTGGGATCCGACCCCGCTCCTCGACTTGGAGGAATTCCCCAGCGCCGTACAGCTTCCCATCCACCAGCCACCCGATCCAGGGCCAGATTGCCATGTCCGCGATCGTGTACCTGCGAGCGGCTTCAAGCGTATGCGTTGCGGGTCCCCTGCATTTCCCCTTTGAACATCCTGCACGAAGAAATGGTGGAAACAGGGCAAACTGGAGACCCCTCAAAGACCCAAGTCCATGGCAAGAAAAAAGTAAGGTTCGGTGCACGGAGGAAGAGCAGCGCAATTGCAGCTCAGAGGCTGGTCGCCACATACGTACTTCTTGTTGCCCTCCCCAAGGTGCTTGTCTAAAACGTCCAAAAGCCGCTTGGTTTCCATGGCATACCGATTGATGGCGTACTCAATCCTTGGATTTCACACAATTCCCAAGCTTTCCTCACACCCCACCTTAATGGCTACCCTTCGCAAACGGCATTCCTCAAAAAGCTGCCTAAAACTTCAGGGCTCAGCAAGCTCTTTTACCAGCTGCTGCTTGGTTACGATGGGACACGTGCAGCACAAAACCGGGCAGGACACTCCAAAGACCCAACACTCAACTGGTAGCCTGACCCAGATCAAAGCCAGGCATTTCCAGCCAGGATCTCAACATGGAGACAGTCCCTAACCCGTTCGCTGGTATGTTTCAGGGTGGGCCGGGCGGGCAACAGATTGACTGATGCTTGAACATCATGCTGCGTGAGTTCAGCTTTCACATTGTGCATCCTCACAATGCCACTGCATGGTGATGGACACACAATTCCCAAGCTTTCCTCACACCCCACCTTAATGGCTACCCTTCGCTAACGGCATTCCTCAAAAAGCTGCCTAAAACTTCAGGGCTCAGCAAGCTCTTTTACCAGCTGCTGCTTGGTTACGATGGGACACGTGCAGCACAAAACCGGGCAGGACACTCCAAAGACCCAACACTCAACTGGTAGCCTGACCCAGATCAAAGCCAGGCATTTCCAGCCAGGATCTCAACATGGAGACAGTCCCTAACCCACCGACGCACTTTCTTCCCACCGTTGCTGAGCTCCTGACTTCAGGCTTTTTCATCTTCAGCGTCGTCATCCGACAACGCATGTAGGAATGCATGCATATCAAACAAGTCAGCATCTACATAATTTAATACAGCAGCAGATTTCCACTCTCCTGCTTGCAGTACTTGCGGAAACGCCGACCCAGACTTTGCCATTGCTGTGGCCTTCCCTGCCCTGAAACTTTTCCAGGACATCCGTTCAGGCGAGGCCACATGCAAAACAGACAACAAAGCACGCAATCTCTTAAGGGCAGACTGAGGGGGAACTGCGCACAGCCGATGACCAGGCGACAACGCCCTCAGCCTGGGTATCAAACGGTGACCTGGGCACATTACATTTACTTCACTGGGGGAACACAGGCATGGCCTCTGCAGAAGCGACCCTTGCGGTCTGTGCTTGCGGCGTTTCAGGCGTATAAAAGTGATCCCTTCAGACGACACCCACACAGCAGAATGACGCTGAGCTGGCAACAGGTGCACCTGTTGCTGAGTGCCAACTTCCAAAGGAACAGCTTCACTTGGCCCTCGCAGCAAAAACTGCCACGCAAGCAAAAAGATGTCTCCAAATTGCTCATGTTGTGGCAAGCTATTGCACAAAGCCACAACTTGCCTCATGATGTTCTCCGTCAACAAGGATTGTTCCCTCAAATGACCAGTGACGGATTCATCATGTTGCTTCTTCAGGCCTTGCAAGGCCAAATGGACTGCCTCATCGTGCCACTCGAGAGAAAAGTGCTTCAAGCAACATGCCCACCGAATGTAATGCACATAGTTGCGGGCAGTTCCTGGGTTCCGAAACAAGGTCACAAACTGAATCACATCTTGCGAGAGTCTGGGCGGCAATGTCTTGCGTGGGTCGTACTGCAATATTTGCACGGCAAACGTGTGCCACGCCCGAAGTGCGGACGCCACTGAAGGCAAACTCCGCAGCTGGCTGGAAATCTGTATTTCGAGAGCCGCTTGTTGCAATATCACTTGGGATTGGCCTCTGGGCATTTCAGACAATGCGGCCAAAGCCTTTGTTGGCCCGTTGGCCTGCCGGCTCACTTTTGACGGATCAAAGGCCTTCAAAGATTGAGCCAACACTTCTGACGAACTTTCTGTCGGCGCGATCCCAGGCCCTTGTCCCAGCATGACTCGCCTGCGCTTTTCTCCCTGGCCAGCATTTGCCTTCTCGACAGCGTGGGAAAGCAACGCTTGCACTCTTGGAATTGGTGACCAATCCGTGAGCTGTTCAGGATACAAGCCTTCCAAATGCGATGGGTGGAGGAAGCCCTTGGCCACTAAGCAAAGCGCAGCCTGGTGCTCGAAAATCGATGGAGAAATGCTGCCAGAGGAGCCAACATATGCAAGCATGTCGTCATACTTCTGCTTGAACTCTTTTGGCTTCATTCCGGCAAAAGGGGTTTTCTGCAGCTTTGCCGAAGTAGCCGGATCTTCCTGCGCGGCACGTTTCCAAATATTCACCAGGGCCAGCCGCCGCGCTTGCCACTGCGCATCCAGAGACGCCCACACATAGTCAGATCTGAGGACAAGCCCTGCGCCAGTATTACACAAAATGCGCTTGCTGATTGTCAGCTTCTCTGCCGACGAACAGGCACGCACCATGCCCTCTGGCAGGCCTCGAGTCCATGACTCAATAGTTGCTTCAACCCATGATTCAGCCCTTAGAAAATCCAGCTCGCACTCTGCCATTGACGCCTGACACACAACGTAGCACACCTTGAACCGAAAGGCACCAATGAACATGCTGCACTTGGCGCAACATTGCAGCGCTTGCACAACGCAGCCTTAAACCGTGCGCAAGCTCATTGATACACTTTTGACCTTTCGCACAATGTCAAGCAACCCTTGGGGCCCCTTCCCAGAAAGAGCTGAGCCATTCGGGCAGACAAGGTTCCACCCAGGTGGCCTTCAACATGGCGACTTGGGACAAATCATCGCGTGACGGGCCGTCTGAGATACTAGCACAGCTCTCAACCCTTGCCACGTGCAGGTCCACTTGCCGGTTCGCCAATTCAAGCCACAATCTGCCTATGCAATACTCAGCCTCTGGGCCGCAACCAGAGCCTTTGGTCACACTGTGCAACACAGCATTGTTGTCTACAAACGCTAGCCACAGCGAGGTCCCTAGCACAGATTGAAAAGTGTGCCATGTTAAAATGAGACCAAGCAGTTCCTGAAACTGAATTTGGCAATCCTGCCGGGGCAAAAGCTCTGCCAGCACTTGGTCCGGCGTCTTCGTTCGGGTCCAGAAAAATTGGCCGGAAACGAAAATCACAGCCGCCACCCAGTTCCCCTGCCCCGACGCATCAGACCACGATATGACTTTTGGCCGACCTTCAGGCTGAAATGATCGGACAGAGGTAGGGCAATGTCTGAGGTATTCTGCAAACCATTCCCCAGCCCGTCTGAGCTGCGGGGAAATTGCATGCCCGGCCAGCGGCAAATGAGCTTGGGCGTGAAATGGCTTAATGAAAGCTCTTCCCACTCGATTGCCTGAGACACACACAGAGAACCCTAGACGGCCAGCCATCTTAGATGCTTCGCCAGGGCTCAATACTCCAGTGGTCAGCATGATTTCTAAGAGCTCACTGTACTTTGCCGCCTTTGCTGGGGCCACGCAAGTGAACAGCTGCTTTGAGGCAAACATCACCCTAACTTGTGCTCCCAGGCAAATCATCCACACAGTTTCTTGCGCATCTTTAGCATCATCTGTGGGAAAGCCCAGGAACCTGCTGAGCACACTCAGGACTTTTCCTGCGTGGTACAACACACCGGCCCTGCTGACCCCAAAGAAGTCATCCACGTATCTCGCCGCTGGGCAACGGAATGCTTTGCGGAGAATTTTGCAAAGAAATCCATTTGCGCGGTGAAAGGAATACACAGCTGCCACAGCGCCAAAAGGCATGCCAGTGTGCTGGGCGGTCATGTACACACCTTCATGCAACCACACAACCCAGGCAAATTCCCAGTGCGTCATTGCAACGGGCACCCGCCGATAGGCTTGAGAAATGTCACGCTTCCACAGGTGCACCGGGCAGTCTGCCTCAAAATACTGTAGCACAATCTCGGACAAAGTGTCAAGATTATCGTGCCTAATTTTGCAACTGCCCTACCAAGGGAAAACCTTGTTGCAGATGCTGGAGAAACGAGTCAGCGGGCACCCCGCACTCTTCTAGCAGCATCCTCCACAAGGGCCCATGGAAAGACGCCACGCAAGGCTGCAAAGCAACAGGCGCACCCTGCACCCATTCATCTTGCTCAGTTTGAAGGGATGCATGGAGGTGAACCAGCCTGCCCAACATGACTTCCCGCCAGGCATCAATTGCCTCGGCTGTAGCAGCACATTCGAATTGGATCGCATCACGCAGTTCCAAGTCCATGGGCAAAGGCACTTCAGACGGGTGTGGGACATGCAAGGCAAAGGCCACGTGTTTCAGGGGTGACATGCCTGTCCACGCCCCAAGCCCTGCTGGAACTTCTGCTTGCTCTTCCCAATTCAAGCCTTCGTTGTCTTTCTCTGCTTGCAACAACACCGCAGGCAATTTGCCCACATGCTGTGTCCGTGCAGGCAACTCCTTGCATGTTTGGGCGCGCAAAGTAAGATCCAACAAGGAAGCAAACTTCACACCCAACAAGGGTGGGTAAGCCTGAGCCAAGTGCGTCTTGAACAAGGACACCCCTTTCCAAGAGGCAAAGCCTCGCAGTGTGATGGTCCTTCCTTGCCATTGCAGCACGCCTTCAGCCAGCTCGTGAAGAAACGGGCTGTTGTGCAGAAACAACGTGGGCTTAGTGAAAGGAACTCCGAAATCACGAAATAAGCATCTCACAAACTGCACCTTGCTGGCCTGCCGCAACTCTCGCACCCCCGGCAAAATCCACAACCAGGACAACTCCGGGTTTTCGATGGACAAGAAGCGCCCTCTTTCCAGCTGCAACTCAGCGACACGGATTGAAAAGGCTGCTAGCTCGTTACCACTTTTGACGAGCACGCACTGTCTATGAGTCAAGTTTGGGCACCCGAATAGGTACACCCAGTTTCGCAACTGAGGGGATCGTGCAAATGTAAAAGACTGGCAAGGAGTGCCCAAATGCACCCAACCCAGTTTGTTAGCTTGTATCAGCTTGAAAATTGACTCACCATGCTGCAGAACATCGTGGTCTGGCCCAAAGCGAATGTCCCACGGCTGCACACAAAGTTGTCCAGTCAGCACCGCGGACAAAGTGAGAATGCCCTCGCCCGCAAAAAATTCAAGGAACAGACTACCATCTTCAATCTCTGCCAGTGACTGGAGAGCATCTGTCACTGTTGGCAAGCATCTTAAGGCCTCAGGCATCAGCACATAATCTGCGCTGCCAAAGCCTGCGTGCCCAATTTCGTGTCAGCGTGGCGCCTTGCGCGCTTTTTGCTCATGGATTCTGGACTGGGTCTTTTCGTACCACGCTTGCTTTCTCTTCTGTTTGCCGCTCATCTGCCCATCTGGCGCTGGAGGCTTGTGCTGCTGGCTCGCATTCATTGCTGCTGCCTTTGCAAAGATCTGCTTCTGGGCATCAACCAACTGTTTGCTGACTTGCTCAGCCCTTTTCTGCGCAGCCTCCGCTGCTGCCAGGTGCTGAACAGCTGCACTTCCACCACCAGAGCCAGTTGACTGCTCAACGCCCGCCTGCTGCAACACGCTTGAAAGCCGCTGGTGCACCATTTCGAGCAGATCCTTGTCCACTTTCAGCACATCCTTACTGAGCTCCCAGCTGGGATCGCGCTTTTCAGCGCGCCTCGCCCGCTGGCGGCGGGCCAGCTCATCGTAAAGGAAAGCAGCGTAAGGCGGCCGTGCCTTCACTCTCTCCTGCTCGGCAATCTGGAGTACCACGTCTTGATGCGCCACTGCATCTGCCATGACCCAGTGCCCTGCACAAATGGCAGCAACAGCCCATCTCCAGAAAGCAGCAGCCCATTGCTGAGTTGACCTGAAGAATCTTGGAGCTGCAGTCGCCCCTTTCAACGCCTTGCCGAGGTCCCCCAAGCTGGCGATGGGGCTAGTTCCTGTCAACGTCATGTCTTCCTCATCTCTGACGGTGAAGCGCCCTCCAACCGCATCAATGGGGATCCACAAAGGCAGGCACTCTTTGGTAGTAATGTCTACAAAGGCAAACGGGGTCCGATTTGCGCGCTTTGCTTCTTCTGTGTGTGCCACCAAGGAGTCAAACAACGCTTGATCAGCTTGAAGATGATACCCTAAGCCCTTGAGTGAATGCTTCTCCAACAAATCTGCAACGTCAGCACGCTTCGTTGGAGCAATTGCAGAGGCAAACGCCTTGGCGCTTGCAGCTGCTGCGACGCTGGCTCCCAGCGTGGATCCCTGGGAAACTTGCAATCGTCTCGCCACAGCTGCTGCCTCAACATTGCGAAGGGTCCGTCTTGCCAATGCCGCAACTGGGGCTGTTTTGTCTGTGAGCTTGGCATTCAGGCTCTCTTCAGAGGCCCTCTGCCAACGATGGTACTGCAGCCAACAACTCGTTGGTGAAAATGTCTTTAACAGCAGTCACCACATCCTCTGCTGGCTCTACGACCTCCACAGAATTGATGAATTCGCCCCACGACACCATGGCAATCACTCATGCGCAACAGATTGACTGATGCTTGAACATCATGCTGCGTGAGTTCAGCTTTCACATTGTGCATCCTCACAATGCCACTGCATGGTGATGGACACATTAACATGAACCAATTGGAAGGCAACGACCGATTTTACCCTTGATGACAAAGCAGTGCTGCACGTGCTATATTTGGCGACACATTGGAAAAACATGGTCAGACTGCCAAGCTGAAGCGAGTGTCTTGATAGGAGCATAGTTGAAGAAGTGTCCGAAACCTCCACCGATGAAGGGCGCACTCCCCATCTGCCACATCAGCCAGTTTTGGCATTCCGCACGAGCTGGGTACTCCTTGGGCATGAAGACCCCGTCCTTGTCGTACTTGTCCGCCAGGTACATCAGAATGGCTCCGGATTCGAAGACGCGGACTGGGTTTTTTTCAGAGTGGTCCACCATGGCGGGGATCTTGGAATTTGGGTTGATACCCTGAAATCCAGAAGTGAACTGCACGCCGTTGATGGGAATGAGCCAAGCATCATACTCAAAGTCGGGAAAGAGCTCCACCAGCTCTTCCAGCAGAATTGTGGCTTTCACTCCGTTCCTGGATTTCCAAATTCAAGCCACAAAACCCTGTTGCTCGCCGAGCTTGGCCAAAGCGACCCCCCCTTTCACAAACACAATGCCGCAAATGCCTGTTTGGTCGAGGGGCGGAGTACCCATAGAGTACAGCTGAAGCTTGTGCTCGCCCTTGGGCAAAGGCTTGTCCTGCGCAATGCTGTCAAGGGGGCCAGAGCCAGGCATCCGCAAGTACCCCAACCTGAAACCTCAAGTAAGCCCGTAAGCCCGTAAGCCCGTAAGCCCGTAAGCCTGGAAAGGGATTTCTAGAGCTTTGCATCGGTCCTCACCCCAGGCGCCAGCATAAGGCCGGTTGGTGCCGCCAAAGGCACCGCCTTGGTCCTTGTACTCCCACACCTGCCAATGGGATGGCAAATGACAAACACCGCAGCGCTCAAAAGGGGGCCATGCCTTGGATGGACGGAATCCTGCACTGGTGAGTAGATGGATGTAGATGGTTTATCCCTGTTTTCATATTCATTAACATCAGCTGGTGCTGGATTCTGTCCATCCACGGTATTCTTTGACACCCCCCCCAATTTGGCCCCCACTCCAAGTTTGCCATGAGCCTGCAAAGCCACGTCTTGAATCAGCAGAAGGATGCCATGGAAGGCATGCCATTTCGCAAAATTGGAAGAGAACGCCATGGAAGCAAAACCACGAAGTCTGTATTGCCTTCTCGAAGGAAGTTCCGAGCAAACAGTTTGTGGGGGGCGGCAAAGGAGGTGTCGGCAAAGAAACTGAGTTCATTGTGAATCGCCAACTTCCTCAATCAACGTCCATGCAAAGACCCCAGAGAGATCGCAGCAATGGACAACTTGGACGAGGCACCAAACTTGGGGAGTGGAGCAGCAGTTCGCAGTTGCCTTGCTCCGTATGAATCTGGCTGCAGCTTCCGGCAGGAACCCACGCCAAAGTTGATTCCAATCCGCATGTCCATGTCTAGAGTCTATAGATTCAGTGTGAACTTTTCAACCCAGTGCTTTCAGCTTTCGAGATCAATCGCCTCCATTAAGTTTGATCTTCCAAATCTTTAGTGGCTCTCGTGTTGGAATGAGGCCAGCAAACCACCGCTCCATCCAGTTCACTGAAAAAACTATGAATGCCAAGGCCGAGCCTTATGGGTCTCTATGGCACACAAAAAAACAAGAACACAATTGTGAGGCACAAGGTAAGGATCTTTCGGCAAAGGGGGTAGCACAGAACGTCAATGGAAATCGCATCTTACAACCATCACACACAGACACACACACAAGCCCAAAATAACAAACAAGCAAACAAATAAACAAACAAGCAAACAAATAAACAAACAAGCAAACAAAATAATAATAACAGGAAAGCAAATCAAGAGAAGGAAGGAAGAAAAAAGACCAGCAAGCAAGCAAACAAAGTAACAAACAAAGAAACAAACAAACAAACCAACTAAGCAAGTAACTCACAAGCTAACAAGCAAACAAACAAGCAAAATCAACATACAAACAAGCAAGCAAGAAAGCAAGCAAGCAAACAAGCACGCAAGCAAAAACAACAAACCAGAGACACAAGGAGAGAGAGAGGAGAGAGAACCCCTACCCACACCTTCGGCACCACATAGTCCGCAGGAAGGGATGGTTTTTCCTGCGCATTGAATGCGAGTGACCATGAGCCGGGTTTTCAGTCGGCAGAGCAGGCCACCAAGACGCCTGAGACTACAACTCCACTATGCTGCCCAGACTTCGCTTGTCGCCCGAAATGTTGATTGCGGACTAAGGGGTGCCGTATCTCTCTTCAAACTTCAAACAGCTGTTCAATCACAGTGTCAGCACGCTTTACGCTTTACAATGCACTGCGAGGAAGGTGATCTAGGACGTCACAATATCTTTCAACACCGGCATGACACGCTGTGACAATGAGTAGCAATGCTTCATAGCTTCGGCTCTTGAAGCGTTCGCCACTTTCCGTTGGTGTTTGCTCATGTTCAATTTACAACAACGTGAGCAAGCACCTCATAGACGAAACATAAATGTCCATCACCAAACGCATCCAAACCCAAATGACCAAAAAATATCCGCGCTCCTCCGCCATGTCAGACGCGGCCTCCCAGCTGCAAACTTTGAGCCTAAACGGTGTGATTGCCAACGGGCAGCTCGCACCAAGGTGCCTCACTGCATCTGCAATGCACCGATTCCGGGCGGTTGGATCACAGAATCACATGGTTAGGATTGCAATTCATGAGCACTGTGAAGCCGCTGGCATGAGGATGAGGTTTTTCAGACGTCAAAGCACAAGTGGATCTCACAAAGGCTCTGGCTGCGGGTAGCCAACATGCGGTCACCAGGCGACCAGATGTCAAGCAGGGAAACACTTTGAAGCGTAGGCCAACTAACTGACTAACTTCTGCTCGTGCAAACCACGAGCGGCGGTCTGCCGAACGTCCTGCATTGACTTTTTGGCTGCCTGGATTCTCCCAGCATGCCCGATGCTGTCAGCACTCGTCTGCCTGCCAAGCAGTCTACAATCTCTGGAGGATGTGCGCTTAGGCAAATGGGTGATCATGTCTTGCCTGCCTTCAAACACCTTGTTCGGCCAAAGGCCTTGCTTTATCTGAAGTTGCAGGTGGATGTCATTCTTTTCTCAACAGTTCGGATTGCCAGGAAAAGCTTAGCGCTGCGACACAGAATCAAGTCATCTGACCTGGTTTTGTGCGCGTGCTCACTCCACTTGTAGGAGTGACTGCGCGGCTGGCGCAGCTATCGCCGGTATGCGGCATGCTGATATCATTGTTTGATTTTGATCTTTCTATACAACCGTCAAGCTCGCAAAAGCCTTGTCTGGCCTGGAACCAAAAAGTCGGCACTCCCGTCCGGCTTGGCCAAATTGACATCCTGGGGACAAGCCGAAGGTTCAAACAAGTTCCGTCAAGCACCCAAGAGATCCGCATCCGCTCCCGCAGCTGTGGCGAGTGCCTCCGTTCGAAGGCTGGGGCTTAGAAAATGCCCTGTCCCACGCGGTTCTTGTTCCGCATCAGCTCGGCGGTCCTCTGCATGTCCTCGTAGGCGGCCTTGGACTTGTCCCCGTCGAACTTCCCCAGCGTGGCCTCAGAAAGCTTCTCCTTCCGCTTCTGCTTGCCATACATGCTCAGAGGCTCAGGCGCCTCAGCCAGGCTGTTCACCTCCTTGAGCAGCGCTGGGTATCCCTTCTTCTCTGGCTTCCGCTCCTTCTCTGGCTTCTTCTCGGGCTCGTCGTCGAAGGTCAAGGCGGACCGGTTCTTGTTGCGGGCCGCGGCCGCGCTGGTCTGCATCTCCAGGAAGGCCCGCCGCGACTCCTCGGCATCAAACTTGCCCAGCGAGGCATCCGAAAGCTTCTCCGCTTGCTTCTTCTTGCCCAACATGGTCACGGCCTTTGGCTCCTCCACAGCTCGAAGGTTCGCTTTTAGCTCCGCGCAAGACGGCGCCTCGGACGGAACCACCGAGCTCGCGGCAGATCGCGCGGACCGCACGCTCTCTGCGGAGCGCGAAGTCCTCAGCTCTCTGAGCCGCTCCGGCGACGCCGGCGACGACACTGGGGTCTTCATGGTCTCCGTCAACTCCTCCACCTTCTTCTCCACGCACTTCGTGATTAAGTTCATCATCTTGGCTTCTAGATCCTGGGTTTTGCCCGAGGCTTTTGACACACGCGAGACCGCGGACCGGGCGCTCACCTCTGTGCGAGCCGTGCCCGGCTCGTCGACGGCCCCCGGCACCGGAGCTGGAGCTTCCGAGGCAGGCGCGGGCTCTCCGCCTCGCTTGCGCGCGGCCTTCATCTCCGCCAGGGTGAAGGCGTCCGTCACACCGCTGGGATTGCTGCCCCAGGCACTGCCCCAAGGGCAGGTGGCACCAACGCTGTTCTTGGGGGCGTACTGGGCCATGGCTATGAAAGGAGTCTTTCAAGGTCCCAGGTTGCTTGATCCAGACTCTGAAGCAAGAAACTGCGCGCTAAAAACGCGCATGCCCGCGCAGCTGCTGCTTCACGCTCAAACATCCCAGACTCGCGCCTACTTCCATGTGCTACAGTCATATCAAATGATCAAGCAGTCTAATATGGCAATGCCTCTTGAACGCACCATGCATACCATCTATCTCAACATCAGGGTAGCCACGACAATTTTAACATAATACTCACAAACAACACATCTGTCTTTTCTCAACAGTTCGGATTGCTAGGAAAAGCTCAGCGCTGCGACACAGAACCAAGCCATCTGACCTGGTTTTGTGCGCTTGCTCACTCCACTTGTAGGAGTGACTGCGCCGCTGGCGCAGCTATCGCCGGTATGCGGCATGCTGATATCATTGTTTGATTTTGATCTTTCTATACAACCGTCAAGCTCGCAAAAGCCTTGTCTGGCCTGGAACCAAAAAGTCGGCACTCCCGTCCGGCTTGGCCAAATTGACATCCTGAGGACAGGCCGAAGGTTCAAACAAGTGCCATCAAGCGCCCAAGGGATCCGCATCCGCTCCCGCAGCTGTGGCGAGTGCCTCCGTTCGAAGGCTGGGGCTTAGAAGATGCCCTGTCCCACGCGGTTCTTGTTCCGCATCAGCTCGGCGGTCCTCTGCATGTCCTCGTAGGCGGCCTTGGACTTGTCCCCGTCGAACTTCCCCAGCGTGGCCTCAGAAAGCTTCTCCTTCCGCTTCTGCTTGCCATACATGCTCAGAGGCTCAGGCGCCTCAGCCAGGCTGTTCACCTCCTTGAGCAGCGCTGGGTATCCCTTCTTCTCTGGCTTCCGCTCCTTCTCTGGCTTCTTCTCGGGCTCGTCGTCGAAGGTCAAGGCGGACCGGTTCTTGTTGCGGGCCGCGGCCGCGCTGGTCTGCATCTCCAGGAAGGCCCGCCGCGACTCCTCGGCATCAAACTTGCCCAGCGAGGCATCCGAAAGCTTCTCCGCTTGCTTCTTCTTGCCCACCATGGTCACGGCCTTTGGCTCCTCCACGGCTCGAAGGTTCGCTTTTAGCTCCGCGCAAGACGGCGCCTCGGACGGAACCACCGAGCTCGCGGCAGATCGCGCGGACCGCACGCTCTCTGCGGAGCGCGAAGTCCTCAGCTCTCTGAGCCGCTCTGGCGACGCCGGCGACGGTCTTCATGGTCTCCGTCAACTCCTCCACCTTCTTCTCCACGCACTTCGTGATTAAGTTCATCATCTTGGCCTCCAGATCCTGGGTTTTGCCCGAGGCTTTTGACACCCGCGAGACCGCACACCGGGCGCTCACCTCTGTGCGAGCCGTGCCCGGCTCGTCGACGGCCCCCGGCACCGGAGCTGGAGCTTCCGAGGCAGGCGCGGGCTCTCCGCCTCGCTTGCGCGCGGCCTTCATCTCCGCCAGGGTGAAGGCGTCCGTCACACCGCTGGGATTGCTGCCCCAGGCACTGCCCCAAGGGCAGGTGGCACCAACGCTGTTCTTGGGGGCGTACTGGGCCATGGCGATGAAAGGAGTCTTTCAAGGTCCCAGGTTGCTTGATCCAGACTCTGAAGCAAGAAACTGCGCGCTAAAAACGCGCATGCCCGCGCAGCTGCTGCTTCACGCTCAAACATCCCAGACTCGCGCCTACTTCCATGTGCTACAGTCATATCAAATGATCAAGCAGTCTAATATGGCAATGCCTCTTGAACGCACCATGCATACCATCTATCTCAACATCAGGGTAGCCACGACAATTTTAACATAATACTCACAAACAACACATCTGTCTTTTCTCAACAGTTCGGATTGCCAGGAAAAGCTCAGCGCTGCGACACAGAACCAAGTCATCTGACCTGGTTTTGTGCGCTTGCTCACTCCACTTGTAGGAGTGACTGCGCGGCTGGCACAGCTATCGCCGGTATGCGGCATGCTGATATCATTGTTTGATTTTGATCTTTCTATACAACCGTCAAGCTCGCAAAAGCCTTGTCTGGCCTGGAACCAAAAAGTCGGCACTCCCGTCCGGCTTGGCCAAATTGACATCCTGAGGACAGGCCGAAGGTTCAAACAAGTGCCATCAAGCGCCCAAGGGATCCGCATCCGCTCCCGCAGCTGTGGCGAGTGCCTCCGTTCGAAGGCTGGGGCTTAGAAGATGCCCTGTCCCACGCGGTTCTTGTTCCGCATCAGCTCGGCGGTCCTCTGCATGTCCTCGTAGGCGGCCTTGGACTTGTCCCCGTCGAACTTCCCCAGCGTGGCCTCAGAAAGCTTCTCCTTCCGCTTCTGCTTGCCATACATGCTCAGAGGCTCAGGCGCCTCAGCCAGGCTGTTCACCTCCTTGAGCAGCGCTGGGTATCCCTTCTTCTCTGGCTTCCGCTCCTTCTCTGGCTTCTTCTCGGGCTCGTCGTCGAAGGTCAAGGCGGACCGGTTCTTGTTGCGGGCCGCGGCCGCGCTGGTCTGCATCTCCAGGAAGGCCCGCCGCGACTCCTCGGCATCAAACTTGCCCAGCGAGGCATCCGAAAGCTTCTCCGCTTGCTTCTTCTTGCCCACCATGGTCACGGCCTTTGGCTCCTCCACGGCTCGAAGGTTCGCTTTTAGCTCCGCGCAAGACGGCGCCTCGGACGGAACCACCGAGCTCGCGGCAGATCGCGCGGACCGCACGCTCTCTGCGGAGCGCGAAGTCCTCAGCTCTCTGAGCCGCTTTGGCGACGCCGGCGACGACACAGGGGTCTTCATGGTCTCCGTCAACTCCTCCACCTTCTTCTCCACGCACTTCGTGATTAAGTTCATCATCTTGGCCTCCAGATCCTGGGTTTTGCCCGAGGCTTTTGACACACGCGAGACCGCGGACCGGGCGCTCACCTCTGTGCGAGCCGTGCCCGGCTCGTCGACGGCCCCCGGCACCGGAGCTGGAGCTTCCGAGGCAGGCGCGGGCTCTCCGCCTCGCTTGCGCGCGGCCTTCATCTCCGCCAGGGTGAAGGCGTCCGTCACACCGCTGGGACTGCTGCCCCAGGCACTGCCCCAAGGGCAGGTGGCACCAACGCTGTTCTTGGGGGCGTACTGGGCCATGGCGATGAAAGAAGTCTTTCAAGGTCCCAGGTTGCTTGATCCAGACTCTGAAGCAAGAAACTGCGCTGTAAAAACGCGCATGCCCGCGCAGCTGCTGCTTCAGGCTCAGGTATCTGCGGTCTGAGGCCCTAATCATAAACATGATGTGCTGACTGTAAAAGCGTAGTTGTGCAGTGTGTGTCTTTGAACTTCATCCAGGGAAGTTCTTTCAGCATCATTCAAGCTCCACAACACGGCAAGCGTCTTGAGACCGCTGTTCACCGTCCTCCCGGCTGTCAGTCCCCTTTTCAGAGCCCACCTGCCACGAACACTCTGCATCCGCTGCAACTCCCGCGACCTTGCAGCAACGCGGCTTATGTCTTCGTCGATTTTATGAGATGTCAGCATTGTTCTCAATTTATTGGGCGGGCCAGAGACACTAACAAAATGCTTTCGCAAAGGCCAACACAGCGAAACTACAAAAGCTGTGGAAACGCAGCAACTTCGTAGAAGGCATCCAAGGGGACTACGCGAACCTTTCGCGAGTGGGCAAGCGGTCAAACCCTTCCGCGAACCCTTACGCGGCCTTCCGCGACCTAGGGAAAAACATGTTCAATTCCATATTTCCTCTCAAATACTACTTTCAATTGCAGGGTATTTAGACCGCTGCTCAGATGTTTTTGCTTTGCTGCTAGGCGGGTCAACCAACCCGGCTCAGTTACACCAAAACGTCTGCCAGCCGTCGCGCTGCGCAAAACACAGCAATCGGCACGTGGCACGCTCCAAAGCCTGCACAGCTTGCACAACAAAAGGCTCAGCTTTTGCGTCTTGGCATCCTTACCAAGCATTGTCTTCAAGTTGTCTTTGCACCTTTGCTCAACCAGTTCTCCGAAAACATGTGCACGCCCAATGAACGCATCTGGGGCACCTCGGCAAAGGACCGGGTGCACATCGGCACACCGCCTGCCAAGTGGCGAAAGCCCTCTGCAAGCCTTGCCCCAAAGGCCCAAAGCGTTGAATCGAGCGCATATTGATGCCACGTCAAAGCCCATGGACAGCTTTAGAATGGTCGCATCATTTCACGTGCAGGAGCGTTGGCTAACTAGCACTGCCTGCTGGAATTGCCAATTACATCATGTCCTCCGAAAACAGATACACACACTCGCACACTGCCATCCATGTGATCTGAAATACGCTTCAAACTGGAAGCGAGCGCCCTTGGATGAGACGCAAGCGACAAGCAATTTGAAGCTGACTGACTCGGCCCCTTGCATTGTCTGTCTGAAACCACTGCTCAAACTTGGACTGCAAGTGGACTGCAAATAACTACGACTGAGCTCCTTAGATTATGATGGCTGTCTGACCACCAAATGGTCGAGGAAATACTCCCCTGCAAGCAAAATGGTTTTCCAACAATAGCCTCCCTATTTTGGCGGGCTTTGTTGGATCTGCATTAGTCGCCCCCCCCCGCCCTGGGACAGTGCCAACAGCCCAGCCGGGCCTCTTTACTGGAAAATTCAAGGGTCTGGGTTCGACTTTAACTTGCCAATACTGAAAAAGTATTGCCAGTTCAAGATTTACTATTGCCAAGTATTGCCAATTCTAAAATTAGTATCGCTGAGGCTTTGACCTTTGAGCTGCGAAGAGCTTCGGATGAATCAACCCCGACAAAAAAAGCTGGACATCAAAGCGAACCATGCAACAGTCAGACTAAACAGAATCAGAGCCTTTCTTGGGCAACCCGTCTATGCAAACGTGTTTTTTCCTAGAGGCCTTTAAGCCGAGCTGGGAAGAGCTTCGGATGACCCTTTGTGAATCTGGGATTTGCCCCAACCGCCCGAAAAAAAAAGCAGGATTAACTGATTAACGCGAAATTCGACAAAATAGTCAGATTGATCAAAAGCAAGGCCTCTTGCGGGATACCCACTTTGCGTGACTGTTTGGCCTTGTAGCTTTTAAAGGGAATTGCATTTACAATCGATAGTTTGGGGAAAAACTTCAAAAGCAGGAATTCCCAATTGTTGCCCGGATTTGTTTGCGCGGATTTTCGCCCGGATTTTGTTTGCCCGAGTTGTGTTTGCCCGTTTCCTCCGGCAAAAAGCCTTTCTATTAACGCGAACCTCGAAACAGTTAGAGGGTTCTGAATTCGGAAGAAACTTTCTATAAGAGCGGCCCCAATTACAAAAGCGGGTCGACATTCAGTCTGGTTGCTTCTGCAAGGGCTCCCCCAAAAGGGGCGACTTCCTTGCGGCCTCTCATCTTTGACCGAACACGTGAAACCAAAATTGAACACATTTGAAGCCAGGAGGGATCTGCCGCGTGTTACAGTCCACGCCTGGAGGTCGTCTTCATCTTGTTGCACTGGTCTGCCATTAGCCTTCCACCCCGTCAATTTCCATCGTACGATGCCAATGAATTCAGTCAACTTCCCTCTCCTAAGCGGGGTTGTCAAATTGGTTTAACACGGTCCACCACAAATCCCAAAAAAATGGCTCAGCTCACCATCAGAAACTCGGCTGTGGGTTTGGGGCTGGCGGGCAGCTCGCACTTTCCAGACCTTCACGACAAGTGGCAGCCGTCTGCTGCTTTTTCCATGAAACAAACATATTCCGAGACATGGTTGTTGCTTGCCGGCAAAGGTCTGGCCGTCTGGCTAATACATAAAGTGTGGCCCAGTCCTTAGAATTCTCCCTTCCAATGCATGCCATGAAGGAAAATTGTCACAGCAGGTAACATTCCAACCACCCCAAAAGGAATCCCCTAAAGACGGCTACCAAAGGCGTCGCCAATACCATGGGCTGGCTGGAGCGGATTTGGGCCAGCAGAAGAAGGACTTTGGTGATCCAATGATGGTGATTTGCTGAGAATTATTATCGACATGTCCCCTTTGCTGCAGGGAAAATGGTGAGAATTGACTGTATCTTGCGGATGCTGCCGAGCAACGTGTTAAGTAGGACTGCTGCGCCCACATCAGGGCAAAAGGGCAGTATGGCAGCACAGCAATCGCAAGAGCAGCCCAAACAATTGGTTCAGAGCCCAAATCAAACCCGACCTACCAAAACTTCAAAAAGAACTCCAAATCACAGCAGCAACCAAATCCCCCCACCCAGAAACTCTGAATTCAACCCCTATTTGTTTCTTTACCGGACCTCCTACGAACCCGACCTACAAAAAAAACAAACACAACTTCTTACTGAACCTACCCTATGAACCCGATCTACCAAAACTTCAAAAAGAACTCCAAATCACAGCAGCAACCAAATCCCCCCACCCAGAAACTCTGAATTCAACCCCTATTTGTTTCTTTACCGGACCTCCTACGAACCCGACCTACAAAAAAAACAAACACAAACTTCTTACTGAACCTACCCTACGAACCCGATCTACCAAAACTTGAAAAACAAATCACAACCTTGTTGTTTGGTTCTACGAGTTAGTCCCAGAGGGCTTACAGATCGGGTCAGAATGTCAAACGAAATCCAAGCAATCCTGATCTGCAGAACTTTCCCCGGACTCATGCGTAACGCGACGGGGTGGTTTGTTGCAGCTGCGTCGTTGATGGCTATGCGTCTGTAGCGCAGACCGAAATGCGTTGTCGATGACATTTATGATGCTCAGTTTATGCACGTGCAACAAATGGCACTGGCAGCAACAACTTGCGAAAAGAAGCACCAAACAGCTCGCTTTGGCTGCACCTGTGCTCAATTGTCTATCTTGAAC